CTCCCCCCTCCGCCCTCCCCCATCCCACGTGTCGGGGCGGACGACCAGGTGGGATTAGAAGGGGGAGGCTGGCGAACTGGCTGCATCGTGCAGCTGGTTTTGCCGGCGCCTCCCAGTGCCGGGTTCGACCGTGAGAGGCGTTGTCTCTCGAGTCCGGCAGGTCTGCTTGCGTGGATGGGGAGGGGGGGGCGACGCCCAAGATGACCTCTGGACCCCGCGCATGTCGTCGTCGACGCAGACGACCCCGACTTCTTGGGCGTCGCTCACATGGCTACTAGGAGGGAGTGGAATGAGGACGGAGACAAGTGGGATAAGGAAGAAGAATCATCTCGACTCCAATGGGCTAAGTCTGCGAGGCTGGGACTTATACACATACGCCGCCTGGGGACTCCAGGACATCGGAGCCTAAAATGGTTCGTATGTGTAATTTCCAAGGCTCGGAGAACTGTCCTCTGCCTTCCAACACTGACCGTCGCGGAGAAAGGGGAAGAGGATGTGGAGCAGGCGGTCTGCGTCGGAGGAAACAAGTAGCAAGGCGCTGGCGTTATACCAAGAACCAAGGACGAGGAGCGAGATATCGAGTCGCGCGAGGGAGCGGGGGTAATCTTGCCTGGTGGTGTCGTGCTGCAAGCGCAAATACTTGTAGCAGTCCGAGGCCGGCATCACTTTGAGGCAACCTCCATGGGCAACACTCACAATCCTCCCCATCCTTCTCCTGCTACCCTCTTCTCTCATCCACACGATGGGATTCCAGATGATAGTGTCCCTCACAAGTCTCACGCGATATGGTTCCGCATGACAGGGTCCCGCCCAGTGGGACCGGACGTCCTCCTCCCCATCCAACTATTCCTCCGCCTGCTCCCTCCTTCTTCCTCCGCCTCCAGCCTCTCAGCCCGAGGAAGCGCCGCACCGGCGCGGGCCCTTCCCACAGCAAACGCCGGCAACGCGCAGCCCTGCGTAATCCTCCTTCTCATCCGTCTCCTCGTCATCGTCGTCCTCCCTCCCCTCCCTCTGAGACTCTGGGACTAGCCACGCAGTTCAAGCAATACCAACTACTGACGGCATCGCTCCAGACAAATGGGACAATCTCGTCACCTCCCCCTTTGCTGCTACTCCCTCCCTCCCTCCCTCCCTCCCTCCCTCCCTCCCTCCCTCCCTCCCAATCATCCTCTCGTGGTCATCTTCATCCCCCTCCTGCTCCCTCCTGATGCTGATGATGCTTCTCATCAGTTGTCACGCTATCATTGTGGTTATGTTATGTTATTGTCATTCGAATCCTCGCCCTACTGCAGTTCTTCTCCTGGTCCCTTATGCTCTCCCCTGCTCCTCTTGCTCCTGCTCCTTCTCCTCTTGCTCTCGTCTTGCTCCTGCTCTTCTTGCTTCTACTCTACTTGCTCCTGCTCCTCTTGCTCCTGCTCCCTCCTGATCCTGCTCCTATCTCTCCTGCTCCTCGCTCTTGTCCTCCTCCTCCTCATCCTGCTCCTTTCTTCCTCCTCCCACCGTCTCCCTCCGTCCCCCTTCATTGAGAAACGGTAAAAGGGGACGACGAGTGATGGAGACGGGAGGGGGCAGAAGGAAAGAGGAAGGAGGTGGAGGGAGGATGCGGCCTCCAGACCTCCCTGGAGGTTCCACGAGGCCTCCAGAAGCTCAAAAACCTCGCTTGCGTCTCTTCCTCGCTCGCTCCTCTTCCTTCTCTTCCATCTCCTCCTCCGCCTCCTCCTTCTCCTCCTCCTCCTTCTCCTCCTCCTCCTCATCCTACTCCTGCTCCTCCTCCTCCTCCTCCTCCTCCTCCCCTTCTCCTCCTCTCCTCCTCCTCCTCCTCCTCCTCCTCCTCCTCCTCCTCCTGCTGCTCCTCCTCCTCCTGTTTCTCCCTCCTCCCGCCCTTCATGCCTCGCGCCTTGCCCCCCCACCCCCACCCCACATGCTCCTGCTCCTGATCCTCGCTCTCGCTGTTACTCTTCCTCCCTCCTCCCTCCTCCTCTCTGCCCTCCTCTTCCCGCTTCCTCTTCCTCCCTCCTCCCTCCTCCTCTTCTTCCCTCCTCTCTCCTCCTCTCTGCCCTCCTCCTCCTCCCTCCTCCTCTCTGCCCTCCTCCTTTCTGCCCTCCTTCTTCCCTTCTCACTCCTCCTCTTCTTCCCTCTTCCTCCCTGCCTCCCTGTCCTTCTCCCTGGAGGACCTTCCGCGCGGCGGGTGGGGGGGCAGGAGGGTATGGGGAGGACCGCGGAAGGAAGGGGTGGGGCCTCTGGAGGTCCCCACAGCTCCGATCCCCAGAGGCATCCTGCATGTTCTGTTTGTCCGAGTCAGGTGTTCGGGGGGCGGACTGTCCTCACGTCCCATGGGTGCGTGGTTAAAGAAGGGCTCCGCGGTGTGCCTTCTCGCTGCGCTTGCCGGGGCTGTCGTTCGCAATCCTCGCCCGCGTCCCGCCCGCGACCCACCCGCAACCCGCCCGCGACCCGCTCGCGATCCGCCCTTCAGTAAACCTCCCATTCATGAGAACGGCCTGGGACCGAAACCGACGGACCTGGACCCGCAAAAATGACGGCCGCGATGCCCTCTCGCGACCCGAAAACGGCCAATTCCTTAATCGACGTGTCAGGGTAGGAGGTCTATCCACCTCCGACCCTTACTGCCTTGATTAGCATCCAGCGCCTGCAGGGAGCTCGCTGTGCAACATGCTGGAAAACCGGCGGCCGCAACGGGAGTCTTCAAACCTGCTCTCGAACCGCGCAGGATGCTGCCACCCCCTCGCTCGTATCTGCAAATGCGTGGGCTACGGAAAACCATGTTCCTCCTCCTCCTCCTCCTGCCCATTCCAATTCCCTTCCACCTCCATTCTCCAACTCTTCTCTCCCTCCCTCCTCCCGCCTCCATCCCTCCTCTCCCCAATATTTTCCTCGTCCTCCGATTTGTCCCCCCTTCTCTCTCCATCTCCTCCTCCTCCTCCTCCTCCTCCTCCTCCTCCTCCTCATCCCTCATTCGCTCTGCTCTCTCCCCCTCCCTCTGTCTCTGCCTTTCCCTTCACCCTTCCCCTCCCCCTCCTCCCCCACTCCCCCCCGTCCTCCCCGGTCCCACCCCCTGCCCCCGCGCTCTTCTCCTCCGCACACTTTAGACCTCTACATTTTTCCTGGACAGCATTCGCGAAGGCATAACCCGCTTGAACACGACCGCGACGGGCCGCTCGCCGCTGCGACACAGGTACCATCATTGGACGGCGCATGCTAGCGAAAACTCGGCGTGCAGCTCGGTGCGACTACGATTGGACAAATTACCATGTGACGTACCCAACCCTTTCTATACATGTGGCGATTCTACCCAGGACCACTCAATGCCTACTGGCATTCTGAAGGACCCGCTGTGCGCAAGAAGAGCACCCAGCAGTGATTTTAGAAGGGCGCAACAAGAAGAGGAACTGCAAATCGCAAGCCCCCCAAGGGGCGGCGAGGTCCCGAGGTGGTCCGCGTGGGACGTACCTCCGCTGGGCCTCCGAGGAGCCCACGAAAGAGCCGACAATTTCGCAGATCGCATGCCCCCCAGGGGGCGGCTAGGCCTCCCAGGAGCCCACGAAAGTGCCCCCCAGGGCACCGCGAGCTATAATGGTGGTCCGCGTGGGACGTACCTCCGCTGGGCCTCCCAGGAGCCCACGAAAGTGACGACAATTTCGCAGATCGTAGCCCCCCAGGGCACCGCGAGCTATAGTAGTGGTCCGCGTATGACGTACCTCCGCTTGGCCTCCCAGGAGCCCTCGGAAATGCCGACAATTTTGCAGATCGCAGCCCCAAAAGGCACCGTCAGTTATAGTGGTGGTCCGCGTGGGACGTTTCTCCGCTGGGCCTCTCAGGAGCCCATGAAAGTGCCGACAATTTTAGCAGATCGCAGCCCCCCATGCACCGTCAGTTATAGTGGTGGTCCGCGTGGGACGTTTCTCCGCTGGGCCTCCCAGGAGCCCATGAAAGTGCCGACAATTTAGCAGATCGCAGCCCCCCAGGGCACCGCGAGCTGTAGTGGTGGTCCGCGTGGGACGTACCTCCGCTGGGCCTCCCAGGAGCCAACGAAAGTGCCGACAGTTTAGCAGATCGCAGCCCCCCGGACACCGCGAGCTATAGTGGTGGTCCGCGTGGGACGTACCTCTGCTGGGCCTCCTGGGAGCCCACGAAAGTGCCGACGATTTCGCAGATCGCAGCCCCCCATGGCACCGCGAGCTATAGTGGTGGTCCGCGTATGACGTACCTCCGCTTGGCCTCCCAAAAGCCCACGGACATGCCGACGATTTCGCAGATCGCAGCCCCAAAAGGGCACCGCGAGCTATAGTGGTGGTCCGCGTGGGACGTACCTCCGCTGGCCCTCCCAGGAGCCCACGAAAGTGACGACAATTTCGCAGATCGCAGCCCCCCAGGGCACCGCGAGCTATAGTGGTGGTCCGCGTGGGACGTACCTCTGCTGGGCCTCCCAGGAGCCCACGAAAGTGCCGACGATTTCGCAGATCGCAGCCCTCCAGGGCGGCACCGCGAGCTATGGTGGTGGTCCGCGTGGGACGTTTCTCCGCTGGGCCTCCCAGGAGCCCACGAAAGTACCCACAATTTAGCAGATCGCATCCCCCCAGGGCACCGCGAGCTATAGTGGTGGTCCGCGTGGGACGTACCTCTGCTGGGCCTCCCGGGAGCCCACGAAAGTGCCGACGATTTCGCAGATCGCAGCCCCCCATGGCACCGCGAGCTATAATGGTGGTCCGCGTTTGCCGACAGTTTAGCAGATCGCAGCCCCCCAGGGCACCGCGAGCTATAGTGGTGGTCCGCGTGAGACGTACCTCCGCTGGGCCTCCCCGGAGCCCACGAAAGTGGCGACAGATGCGCAGATCGCAGACGGCACGAGAGAAGAGGAGAAGGGAACACAGGAGACAGGAGAGGAGGAGAGGGGAGGAGGAGAGGAGGAGGTGGAGACCACACTGCTCTATTCAAAACGAGTGCCCAACACAAGAGGGTTGGGAGAAAAGAAAAGATGTGCGCTATGACGGCATGATGCCGCCGCCCTGCACAAATATTTCCTGCTGCTTCACCCTCTGACCGAGCGCGTGTCCCGCGCACGCCTCCTTGAACAGCGTGCCAGATGCCGCCGGCACCTCCTCGAAACAGAAGCTTCTGTACCACGGCGGCGTCTTTCGCTCCCAGGCGTTCACCAGTGCTGGGCAGGCTTCCTGCGTATGCCACACTCCACCACCCCGTATGCGACAGTTGCGGTCTACGTCCTGGTTCCAAATGTACGCATCTGCCCGCGCTGAAAAAATGTCTTGGAAAGCCTTCGTCGCATGGCTCTCGGCGTGCACCTTTTTCCCGCTAACGTTAAAGGCATCCCGGGGAAGCCGATCAGGACGGACGGCATTAAAGTCCGTGTGCGTCCAAAAGTCCTTACGTTTCAGACCACAACCAGAATGTTGACGACACAGGCCGCCTGGCTTGCAACCCGCGAAGACACCCCAATTGTCTGGCCTCTCCATGAAATCGAAAACAGGGTTCTCGTTGTAGATAACAACGTCTGGGTTCATTCGGATGACCCAATCATAGCCGTCGAACCAGCCGGATGAAAAAGCAATACGTGTTGCCTCGACTGCACCAGCTTGGTATCCAAGGTTCTTGATGAAGCGAATCGTTTTTCTTCTGCATGGCCAATCGCGCACCAGCTGTTCGTACCGACGCACCTCTTTCGGTGGCGCATTATCCCCTTCCACTGAAAGCTTTTGTAATCCCACTGAGAATATGGCATCTGCGTTCGATAGCCTGGGTAAGCGGTTGAGCAATCCCGCCTGACACGACAAAAAAGTCAAATGCTGCTTTGACCCCACAGTTGTGATGAAAAGCACTACGCGCAGTAAACTAGTGATGCCTGTCTCGAGCGACACTGCTGACATGCCCGACGTGAAATTTACTATCTGCGACCACCTGGCCGACATTTCTTCGTCCAGTTCCTCGCCATTCCAGCATGCCTCCATGAACAATTTTCTTGAAGATGTCGGGAACTCCTGATCACAAAAACCAGTATGCCACGGAGGTGTCTCGAGCTGCCACGCGTGCAGAAGAACGGGGCACACCTCAGAGGTGTGCCATACTCCGCTGCCTCGTGTTCGGCAAGCGTAATCTTTGTTATCTTGCCAAATGTACACTTCTTTCTTCGCCGCATAAATCGACCGGAAAGCTCGAGAAACAAACTGTTCCACGTCTTCTCCAACCTTGCCATCCCAATGGTTGAAGGCATCTCTGGGGATGCGGTCTGGCCGAACAACATAAAAGTCCGCATTCGTCCTGAAATCGTCCTGGAGACCGCAACCAGAACGTTGATCACAGCAGATGGGACGACGCTTGTTTATACATGGATTTAAATTGCAACTCGCGAAGATACCCCAATTATTTGGCATAGCCATGAGCGATATAAGATAGTTTTCGTTGTAGATGACTACGTCAGGTTCCATTCTGACAACCCAGTCATAACTGCTGAACCACCCGCTAGAAAAAGCCACATGTGTAGCTTTCAATGCTCCTTGGTCCCCTCCTGGGTCTTCCAAGAAATTCGCCGGCCCAACGGGCCAGAGGCGTGCAAAGATCTCCGGTAACTGGTTCACAATATTTTTAGTTCGCGCGCGCGGGGCGGCCCCTGGGGGTCCCCAGACGAAAAGTACCCCGGCAAGGTCCGGGGAGGAGCCACCAGAGCACTCCAGGGGAGGGCCATTTTTCGATACCCCTCCGAGGATCGTGGCCTCTGAGGGGGGAGCTGCAATCGACTACCCCCCCTCCCGCCCTAAGAGGCCTCCAAGAGACCCCCAAGAGGCCCTGGGGGACCCCAAGACGCTGCCAAGGAGCCCCAAGAGACTCCCAAGAGGGCATCAAGAAGCAAAGTTCATTGTTTTTCCGCAGGTTTGGGGGAGATTTTGGCGTTTCCACCTTTTCGACATCGCGACGCCTCAAGAAGGCCCAGGAGGCTTCCAAAATCGCCCTAAGAGGCCCAAGAGACCTCCGACAGGGCCCCAAGACGGGCCAAGAGGGTTCCAAGACGGCCCAAGAGGCCTCCAAGACGGCCCAAGAGGGCCCCAAGAACGCTCTGAGAGAAGCCCCAGAGGGGGAACACGAAACAACATTTCGAGCCCTCGGCCCTAAGAAGCCCCCAGGAGGCGCCAAGAGGCCCCTTTCAAGCCCCAGGAGGCCCCCGAAAGGCCCTCCAGATAGCCCTCAGACGACCCACGAGGCATTTAAGAGCGCTCCCAAGAGGGCCCCAAGAGGCAAAATGCATTGCTTGTCCTAAGGTTTGGGGTAGATTTTGGCGTCTCCACCTTTTCGGCATCGCGACGCCCCAAGAAGGCCCACAAGGCCTCCAAGATCGCCCTAAGAGGCCCGAGAGGCCTCCGACAGTGCCCAAAGACGGCCCAAGAGGGTTCCAAGACGGCCCAAGAGGCCTCCAAGACGGCCCAAGAGGGCCCCAAGAACGCTCTGAGAGAAGCCCCAGAGGGGGAACACGAAGCAACATTTCGAGCCCTCGGCCCTAAGAAGCCCCCAGGAGGCGCCAAGAGGCCCCTTTCAAGCCCCAGGAGGCCCCCGAAAGGCCCTCCAGATAGCCCCCAAGAAGCTCCCAACCGTCTCGCAAGCGGCTCCCAGAAGCCCCAAGATGCTCCCAAAGGAGCTCCAAGAAAGAAACCCCAAAGAGGCCCCAACAGAAACCCAAGAGGCACCCAAGAATCCCCCAACGAGGACCCCAAAAGGCCTCCAAAGGCCCAAACGCCAGCGAGGGCACAATACGGGCCGGCGGAATGAGCGAATCGATTAAATGAACTCGCTTAGTTCCAGTCGTCCACGGGGCCATCAACTGCTCGTACTTCTGCCGAAGCTGCTGAGACACCTCTACAAGAGGTTCTATCGCACCGACAACACTGCTCTCGTCTACCAACACAGATAAGACGGCATCCGCCCTGGATAGCGTTGGTAGGCGGCTCATCAAATCTGCCTGACATTCTAAAAAGCTAGTGTGTTGATCCGACCTTGTGGTTGAGATAAACAAAACCATGCGCAACGCATCCTGGACACCAGATGAATTGGCAGAGGACTCCGTTGCCTCGATCGACGTGTGCGTTGAATTCAGCGAGGCGTTCCCTAGCCGAGACCATCCGTGGAATGTCCAACCAAATTCACGATTGTTGACGCTCCTGTCACCACTGCGAACGGCTGCTGCCACGGAAGTTGTCGCTACAGCGTGCGCATCCGGCCGACCACCACCACCACCAGCGCGCGCAGCCGCAGCCACACTCCCACCGCCAGTACTCGCGGCTGTCTTCGCAGAAGTTGTCGTAGGAGCGTGCGCATCTGGCCGATCACCATCGCCTGCGCGCGCTGCCGTCGTCCCGAAGCTGCTGGCATCCGACTGGTCACCGGGCGTCTTCCCAAATGGCGGGCCCCGGACGCTCGCGTCCCCGAGGTGCTTCCTGGCCGCCTGAGACAGAAAGGAGCCGCCAAGAATCCATCGAAAATCCTCCCCGAGGTCGCAAAGAGACAGCAGTGCCACAATAATCAGAGTGAGACCCAAAGAGAGACATTTCACCTCGTCACCAGGCGATGACATCCAAGCCCAAACTCGGGCCACATTAGCTTGAGCTAAAATGGCTACGGACCGACACGATTCTTGCTTAGTAAGGCGGTTCCATTGAAGCCTGGACATTTTATCATCCCCAAAAACGAACGTTCGTATCCTGAGCTGTCGCTTGACGGCCCCAGCAAGGCCCCCCAGAAGCCGAACCTGCCACACAGACGAGTCCCCCGTCGCACGTCGTTTCTGCTGCGGACCTCCTCCGCCCGGAAAGGACGCGCCCGACGGCGCAGGAGGGCCCCTCTCCCCTTGGGCGCGGCGGGGGGGGGGGAGGGGCTCTGAGCATCTGTTCACCGACTCCCCTCCCCATGGGCATGGCCTTGGCCCCACTGCCAGACTTACCCTCCGCGGGGGTGGGATCTCTGCCGTGCTCTCCCTTCGGGCTTCGCGGGGCCGATCCCAACCTTGGGGCTTAAGCTCGTGGTGATGGGCCCATGTTCCACCACCGCTACCGATTTTAGGAGGAGGAGGAGGAACAGGAGGAGGAGGAGGAGGAGGAGGAACAAAAGGAGGAGGAGGAGGAGGAGGAGGAGGAGGAGGAGGAGGCGAAGGCGGCGGAGGCCGAGGCGGAGGAGGATGAGGAGGATGAGGAGGAGGAGGAGGAGGAGGAGGAGGAGGAGGACCTCCCCATCCTCCGTTCTCCCCCGTCTGGCAAATGGCATCGATGGGGGGAAACTTGCCCCTCAAGCGATGGGGATGGGCTACCGCTCCGTCGACGCCGAGGGCCCGCGGCGCCCGCCGCCGCCCGCCTCGCAGGCCCAGCCCGCACAGGAACCCGGCGTGCGCGTGCGCGGAGCTCTGCCCGCCCGCCTGCGCCTCTCGGCGCCGCCGCCCGCCGGTCCCTCGACAGCCTCCGCTCCCTCCTCGTCCTCCTCCTCCTCCTCCTCCTCCTCCTCCTCCTCCTCCTCCTCCTCCTCCTCCTCCTCCTCCACCTCCTCCTCCTCCTCCTCCTCCTCCTCCTCCTCCTCCTCCTGCTCCTCCTGCTCCTCCTGCTCCTCCTCCTCCTCCTCCTCCTCCTCCTCCTCTCCTGCTCCTCCTGCTGCTCCTCCCTCCTCCTCCTCCTCCTCCTCCTCCTCCTCCTCCTCCTCCTCCTCCTCCTCCTCCTCTTCCTCCTCCTCCTCCTCCTCCTCCTCCTCCTCCTCCTCCTCCTCCTCCTCCTCCTCCTCCTCCTCCTCCTCTTCCTCCCTCTTCCCTCCTCCCTCCTCCAGCCTTTCTCCTCCCTCTTCCCTCCTCCCTCCTCCCTCCGCCCTCCTCTCTTTTCCCTCTTCCTCCCTTCTCCGTCCGCCCTGTTCCCTCCTCCCTCCTCCCTCCTCCTATCCTCTTTCTCCTCCCTCATCCCCCTCCGTCCGCTTCATCCCTCCTTTCACCTCCTACCGAGCCTGGCGCTGCCGAGGCCAGGGCGCGGGGGGGGGCGGAAGAGGGCCCGCTGCAGCGAGCAGCCACCCTGTGCAAGGATTGCTGGCTGGGCAGATCAGCGACTTGGATCCGTCACGTGATGCGAATCGGATGAGGAGAGAAAGAGGAGAAAAAGGATAATAAGAAAAGAAGAGGAAGAGGAGGGGGCTTCAGTGGGGAGGAGGGAACTTCGCATCGGTGGGGAGGGGGACTGGGCAGATGTGTGAGCCACAGCTCAGGAGCCAAGCGAAGGCTGGCAAACCCTTGGCTGCGAAAACGGAACTCTGGGAAATTGTTCCCAACCATCCTGTGGTGTGGGGTCCTCGTTTTGAAGAGACGGTCCCCACGTCTCCTCTTCCTCCTCCCCCTCCTCCCTCCTCCCTGCGTTTCATTCACCCAGTACAGCGCTTCGTAGCCCCATAGGGAGCTCCACCTAACGCCCCAAAGGGGAGTACCACATGCGTCTGGCACACCCACTACGGCGCTTCGTGGCGCCGTAGGTTCTCCACCTAAGGCCCCAGTGGAGGGTACCACATGCGTCCGCCACACCCAGTGCAGTGTTTCGTGGCCCCATAGGCAGCTCCACCTAAGGCCCCAGATGGGGGGTCCACATGCGTCTGCCACACCCAGTACGGCGTTCGTGGCGCCATAGGGAGCTCCACCTAAGGCTCCAGAGGGGGGTACCACGTGCGTCTGCCACACCCAGTACGGCGCTTCGTGGCCCCAGCGGTGGCGCGGGGCGCGGTTGCGGTGGTCCTTCGGGCCGCGGCACCCCCGCAGCCGCCTGCGGCCGCCAGCGCTGGGGCGGCTGGCCGTAAAGATGGCGCATCGGATGCGAAGCGGGAGCGGCGGCGGCGGCGGCGCCGCGCTCGTCTCGCTGAAGGGCGCCGTGCTGATCGTGACGCTGTTCCTGGAGCCGGTCGCGCCGGCTTGCCTGCTCTTCCTGAGGTCGGCTCTGGCGGCGACGCTCCCATGGTCAACGGCTTTGACGATAGCGACGGGATCATCGACGACTCCTGGGCCGACAGCCTGCCCGTCCGCGGGCCGCGTCGGCCTAGGAGGAGATGCGAGGGCATAAGTGTCGCGGTGGTGGCTGCTGCTGGCGCGAGCGCTTCGGGCTCTGGCTCGGCCGCTGCGACGGCCGCGCCTGCAGACGCGGCGCTGGCCCTCGTGGGCGCCCCTGGCGGGGCGGCGGCGGCGAAGGCGGCGGATCCAGCTCGCGGAGCTGGAGGAGCTGCTGGTGCTGCGGGGTGCGGCCTCGGGTGCGACGGCCAGGCCGACGGAGCGCGCGGCGGCGGCGCGGGCCCAGGCGTCCTCGGGCTGAGGCGGCGGCGGAGCTGGGCGCGGCGCTCGCGGTGGCGGCGCCTGCTACAGGCGGAGCTGCGGCCTCGGAGGTCGGCCCTGAGGAGGACTTCGCGTTTGCCGACGGCCTCCTCCGCCAGGCGG